CCCTTCATCAGAAAAGGGTTTTCTGATGAAGGGTCTAGGCCCGAAACGTCAGCCTCTCTGCTCCTATGACGCTGCTTGGCCTGCTGTGTTCATCCAGCCCTGCACCTTGTTGTCTCGGATTCTCCAGCATCTGCAGTTCCTACTACCTCAGTCTTATGACCTGTTTTGTACTCTCCTGTGAATTAAATTGCCTTAAATGCCAAAAATATGTCCCTCACCCTTTTTTTCTGCCTGTCTCACTTCCTTTGAAGGTGTTCACTGTAGACCTCTTGTGCAGCCCCAGTTTTAATTACTGCTTCATCAGTGACTGTACTTTCAGTTGTCTGAACCCCAAGCTCTGGAATGCCCTCCCTCTCTAGCTTGCTTTCATCTTTTAAGATTGTCCTTAAAACCTACATCTATGACTAAGATTTTAGCCATCTCTCCTAATATTTCTTGGTGACATACTTTGTTTTAAAATATGAAACAATTTGCAACGAATTGTTATTGAAACACTGAACTCTTTCTTTTTCAAATAGCTGCTACTATGGTGGACCTTGGCAAAAATAAGAAGAATCCAGATGAGTTTGCACAGGCACTTGACGAGGAACTTGGTGACTTTGCATTTCCCGACGAGTTTGTCTTCGATGTCTGGGGCGCTATCGGAGATGCCAAGGCTGGGCGATAAACACTGGATGCAATCGCTGAGACTGTACGAGATCAGTGGAAGGGGCATTTTTTAAAAAATATATATATATATTTATATGCTAATAATTTTAGGACACTGGGTCCTGGGTTACTTTTTCATAGGAATATTTCAAGATGATTTTGTACAGTCAGACTGACCAATAATTCCTTGTTTTCAGACTATCTGATTTTTGTAAGCAGTTGATTTGAGTACCTTTTAGGTGCCATATTGTGGTGTGCTAATGGTGTATGCATACATGGATGCCACAACTTTGAAAGCATTCTCCTGTGACAACACTATGCAGAAGTTATTTTTAATATATTTTTACAGGAATGTTTATGGAAATTAGAAGATTGGGTTGGGAGAAGAAAAATCCATGTGAAGATCTGAATTGTCTGTTTTTGTAGGCTGCAATTTAAAAAAAAAAATAGATGCATGCTGCAGTATGGCAATAAACTAGGGGTCCTCCACACCACTAGAACACTTAAAAATTATGGTCTTAACTAGTAAATTTTAATAGATTTTCTTCTTGTTTGTAATGATGTTCCAGTTTTGGATGCCTGTTTGAGCAGAAGATCAGGAAGCTGTGTTGGTAGGAAAGAAAGCATTTTTTTAAAAGAATAAGAGACTTGCATTTTTACAATAACTCATGCCTGCTTGATCGCCTCAATGATTCACTAGTAGAATGTAAATGCAAGGTTTATCAAATCTTTCTTCTATTGTTTACAAGACGATTGTCTGCAGTACATGGGCTAATGTTGTTTAACTTCCCAATACTGGTTGAAACAGCAGACTTGCAGCCATGTGACTGTATTAGGCTAAGTACTGATTGTTTTGCACACTTCCAGCTTTTAATGACTGTTTTAAAGCTGCCATGACTCCGACTCCCACTATGGTGGCTATGTGAAATGTTCAAATTGAAAAGTGCACACCACTGATTATAGTAATAATCATTAATAATTGTGATCTTTCAGCCTTTGTATCTTGGCAAAATGTCCTAAAGCGCAGGACTTGGATTTCTATAGCACCTTAATAACCTCAGGATGTGCTAAAGCACTTTACAGCAATTAGGTACTTTTTTTTTGAAGTAGTCACTGTTGTGATGCAAAGAACGTGGCAGCCAAATTGTACACAGCAAACTCCCAGGAACAGCAATGTGGTAATGATCAGATCACCTATCCTAGTGATATTCATGAGTAACAAATTTTCAATTAGAACACTGGAGGAAAACTGCCCTGTTCTTTTCAGACTAGCGATGCGGGCTGTTTGATGTACACTGAAGAGGGCAGTCGAGGCCTTTAATGTGCATCTGTTCTGGAAGAGGACACCTCAGTCTGTGCTGCACTCCCTCAGTGCATAAAGTATTGGCCACCTTTTTGCACTTGAGTGGATGTGAGGTGTATCAACCAATGTTGGAGTGCTGTCAATATTGCTGTGACATGAATTGAGGCATATTACATTTTGAAGGAAAATTACCCCTATTTCTTAGGTACCAAGTGCATTTATATCCATTGATTGTACATTTTAAAGATAAACAGAAATTGCTGGAAAATCTCACCAGGTCTGGCAGCATCTGTGGAGAGAAGTCAGTTAATGTTTCAGGTCCAGTGACCCTTCAGAAATTTTGAGTAACAATCACTGGACCCGAAACATTAGCCCTGATTTCTTTCCACAGATGCTACCAGACCTGAGATTTTCCAGCAATTTCTGTTTGTGTTTCAGATTTCCAGCATCTGCAGTTCTATTGGTTTTATTTTACTGTATATTTTATACTGTTGCTTTTTCAGCGTCCCAAGGAGTGGATATTTATTGTGTTGAGTGGGTTGGAGCAAAACAGTTAATGCTGCAAAAGAAGCCTCTTCAGGTTAATTACCATTCTCAAGGGCAGTTTGACCAAGATCCCATTTTTTTAATAAATTCATTAATTGTTAATGTAAAGTTAAACTTGTAATAAATTCTGCTGTCTGCTCCATGCACTTTTTATTGTTTGAAAGGAATGTAATTTGATGCGATTTAATCCATTAAAAAGGAACTGGTAATTAGTTCTGATCGTTCCTGTCCCTGTCAGTTCATCTACTTGCATTCCTTATTTAAACCAAATTAACTCGTCACAAGTAATGATTTAGAATATTGACATTTCTCCTGAATATTTTGAACATTCTTAAACTTGAACTGTTGTTTTCGTGATGAATGTAGGAAATGTGACTGCATCACTGTCAGATTACCTAGGTTGAAGCTGTACCAAAAGCAAACCAAACCATATAATGTCATACAGCATTGTAAGAAGCCTGTTAGCTCATGCAGCTCTTGAAAGAAGTGTCCATTTAGTCCCAGTGCCCTACACTTTCCCCAAAACTCTTAAAATTTTTCCTCCGTAAGTACTTATTCAGCTCTCTTTTGAATGTTATAACTGATGAGTTTCCCCTGGGTGCTCCCAGTTTCCTCCTACAGTCTAAAGATGCGCAGGTTAGGTGGATTGGCTACGGGAAATGCAGGGTTACATGGATAGGTGGGTCTGGGTGGGATACTCTTTGGAAGGTTGGTCTGGACTCGATGGGCTGTTTCCACACTAGGGATTCTATGATTTTTGTTTTGATTCTGCTTCCGTCTCATTTTCGTGCAGCACATTCCAAATTAGAACAAATTATTTTTTAATATAAAATCTCCCAATTTCCCACTAGCTCTTTTGCAATTGACCCTGTCTGTACTGTTTTGTTACTGCCCTCCAGTTTGCATCTCAATAACCCTTAACGCATTACAGACTACTTCTTTTGCTTTTCACTGGATAAGCTGTTTGGTGTCTTTGGTGCTTAGTGTTCTTTTTAAAACAACTCATTATCTGTTCAGAAGCCACAAACCACTTTGTCTTCAAGCTAAACTTTGCCTACCACGTTGATCTGAACAGTTCACTGTGAAAAAGTTAATACGCAGCTATATAGAATTCTGTAGTGCACAAACTGGCCACTTGGCCCATTAAGTATATGCCAATGTACATCCTGTTTGAACCAGCTCCCACTTTCTTGGATCTCTTTCTGAATTCTTGAATTTAACACTAACCTAAGTTTAATAGGAAATAATTATTAATTTGTAACAGTGGATGAATTAATCCCTTGCTCAGTTAGTGTTCTATTTTGTTATATTTTTTGGCTTTGCATTATAAATTGTCATAGATTTCATAATTATGTAATGAAAACTGATATTAGGCGAATGTTATATTGGTGCAAACAGTCATTTGGTAAAATAGCATCTTTGTAGTAAAGAGCAAATTTACAACGTTTTGACTTGATATGCTTTTAAAACTCTCTCGAAGGAATGGCCAAGCTTTCCGCCCTTGTGAGCTGTGTATACCTTGAGAAGTGTATAAAAAGGTTGAGTTGGCATTCTCATTAATTTGTACAAGTCTCTCATTGCTAATAACAAGCTTACATAAGCAAATAATGAAAAACCTTTCTTGAAGCTTCATAGAATCATACAGAACAGATATATTTATACAATTCCATGCTGCTTTGGAACAGAATTGTGCTGTTTATCATGCTTATTTCCCACCATCAAGCATTATCTAATTATTCCTTTCTTAATGGATTAGAATTATGGGGTAGACCAAAGCTGTTCTGAGATGCATGTACAATGTGAACAATGCAAATACTTTTAGTTTTGACAGTGGAACCTCTTATTCTACATTAATTAGTTTGTACTGCAAGGCACGCATGATACATGTACACGATGGTCCATGCCCAAGCATTTAACTGCTGCTCTTTGCCCTCTCGCCACACCCATTCAGTTATCACTAGTTTTAAACTAGCCATGAGCAATGACATTGTAGGTGGATTGGTAGCACTTCTAATCATCTAAACTCATATGATGTATGGGAACAACTCCACCTGCAAGTTCCTAACCTGACTTGGAGCTATATCACTGGTCTTTCAGTGTTGCTGGGTCACATACCAAATTCCTTCCATCTTACATGTCTACACTGCATCAATTGTGATAATTCAAGAAGATGGCTGATTGCACTTCAAGAGTGATTTAGGAATGGGCAATAAATGCTGGCCTAACCAGTGATGCTGACATCCAAAGAATGAATTTTTTTAAAAAATAAAACTGTCTGTGCTGCTTAGAACTTGTACTTTGAAAGTACAAGGCTGAGCAGGTTATCACCATCTCTTGTAAAAGTGCACATATTGGCTATACGACTCTCCTCTGCACTGTGGGCCTGTCGGAGTTCCTCATCCTTATGCTGTGATACAAGCTTGCAGTTTCTTGCTTAGTCATCCAACTGAATTGCTAGAAATATTTTTGGTGAGTTATCATTTGTCACTAGCCCATTCTGTCAACTGCTTCAAAATGGCAATGTGCAATTTATCATGTTTGGTGTTCTTTAAACCTGTATGCCTTGCTGCTTGGAGATTGGAAAAGGCACAGTTCTCAGAATTGAGATTTTTGTGCTGCGTTCTAGATAATTGGTTTCTCCTCTGTAGTCGGCGCTATGTAGAGAATGGTTGTTCTCGAAAGGGGAAATTGAAACAAGCTCGCATCTCTAGAGCCCTTTTCACATCCTGAAGTAGTCCTCACAAAACATAACTTTTGTACTGTGCAGGCTGTATGTAATGGTGGCAAACAAGTTTAAACCAATTTGCTGATGAAGATCCCATGAAGAGTTAATGAGCTAATAGACAATCAATCCATACAACTTAATGATGTTGGCTGAAGGTTCAGTGTCGGCCAGGACAGTGGAACAACTCATTGCCCTACACGTAGTGTTGTGGAACATGTCTAAGTCAATGGGCAGGAATGTGTCACAGCTGAAATATAACACCTCTGGCAAAGCGGCAAAGCAGCACTCCCTCAGTCCAGCATTTTGTTGGAGTCTCGGAATATGTTTGATTAAATGTATGACTCTTCTCAACTGAGGCTACCACTGAGCCAAACTGACACATTCAATAGTAGGAACAGAAGTAGATCATTCAGCCTCCAACCTCATCGTTCCCCAACCTCGCACTGCCCACTTCTATCTCCTTCCCAAAATCCACAAACCTGAATGCCCTGGGCGACCCATTGTCTCCGCCTGCTCCTGCCCCACCGAACTGATCTCCAACTATCTCGACTCCATTTTCTCCCCCTTGGTCCAGGAACTCCCTACCTATGTCCGTGACACCACCCACGCCCTCCACCTCCTCCAGAACTTCCAATTCCCCGGTCCCCAACACCTCATCTTTACCATGGACGTCCAGTCCCTCTACACCTGCATTCCCCATGCAGATGGCCTTAAGGCCCTCCGCTTCTTCCTGTCCCGCAGGCCCGACCAGTCCCCCTCCACTGACACCCTCATCCGCTTAGCCGAACTCGTCCTCACACTCAACAACTTCTCTTTCAATTCCTCCCACTTCCTACAGACAAAGGGGGTAGCCATGGGTACCCGCATGGGCCCAAGCTACGCCTGCCTCTTTGTAGGTTACGTGGAACAATCCCTCTTCCGTACCTACACCGGCCCTAAACCCCACCTCTTCCTCCGTTACATTGATGACTGTATCGGCGCCGCCTCGTGCTCCCACGAGGAGCTCGAACAGTTCATACACTTCACTAACACCTTCCACCCCAACCTTAAATTTACCTGGACCATCTCTAACACCTCTCTCCCCTTCCTGGACCTCTCTGTCTCCATATCGGGCAACCACCTAGAAACCGATATTCATTTCAAGCCCACCGACTCCCACAGCTACCTAGAATACTCCTCCTCCCACCCACCTTCCTGCAAAAATGCTATCCCCTATTCCCTATTCCCAATTCCTTCGCCTCCGCCACATCTGCTCCCAGGATGAGGCATTCCACTCCCGTACATCTCAGTTGTCCTCGTTTTTCAAGGACCGTAACTTCCCCTCCTCGGTGGTCGAGAACGCCCTCAACCGTGTCTCCCACATCTCCCGCACCTCATCCCTCACACCCTGTCCACGCAATAAAAACCAAAAAAGAATCCCCCTCGTCCTCATGTACCACCCCACCAACCTCCGGATCCAACGCATCATCCTCCGACACTTCCGCCATCTGCAATCCGACCCCACCACCAAAGACATCTTTCCCTCCCCACCTTTATCTGCTTTCCGGAGGGACAAGTCTCTCTGTGACTCCCTTGTCCGCTCCACACTCCCCTCCAGCTCCACCACACCCGGCACTTTTCCCTGCAACCGCAGGAAGTGCTACACCTGCCCCCATACCTCCTCCCTCACCCCCATCCTAGGCCCCAAGAAGACTTTCCACATCAAGCAGATGTTCACCTGCACATCTGCCAATGTGGTATACTGCATCCGCTGTACCCGGTGTGGCTTCCTCTACATCGGGGAAACCAAGCGGAGACTCGGGGACCGCTTTGCAGAACACCTACGCTCGGTTCGCAACAAACAACTGCACCTCCCAGTCGCGAACCATTTCAACTCCCCCTCCCATTCCTCAGACGACATGTCCATCCTGGGCCTCCTGCAGTGCCACAACGATGCCACCCGAAGGTTGCAGGAACAGCAACTCATATTCCGCTTGGGAACCCTGCAGCCCAATGGTATCAATGTGGATTTCACAAGTTTCAAAATCTCCCCTCCCCCCACCGCATCCCAAAACCAGTCCAACTCGTCCCTGCCTCCCTAACCTGTTCTTCCTCCCACCTATCCCCTCCTCCCACCTCAAGCCGCACCTCCATCTCCTACCGACCAACCTCATCCCGCCCCCTTGACCTGTCCGTCCTCCCTGGACTGACCTATCCCCTTCCTAACTCCCTACCTACACTCACCTTTCCTGGCCCCATCCCCGCCTCTTCGACCTGTTTGTTTCCTCTCCACCTATCCTCTCCTCTATCCCTCTTCTATCCGCCTCCCACTCTCTCCCTATTTATTTCAAAACCCCCTTCCCCTCCCCCTTTTCTGATGAAGGGTCTAGGCCCGAAACGTCAGCCTCTCTGCTCCTATGATGCTGCTTGGCCTGCTGTGTTCATCCAGCCCTGCACCTTGTTGTCTCATTCAGCACCTTGTTTGTTTTATCAGTCAATTGTCATTACTGATCTGATCATAATCATGAGGAATTGCATTCAGTACTACTATGCTACTGTTAGTTCATACCACTCAAAGCCCACATTTGATCTAGTAGGACAACTTTTTTTTTCCTCGCTGACCTGCATATTTCTGCTACTTTTACCTTCCAGTTACAAATTGCCAGAAACGTTAAGTGAGATTAAAGATCTACCTCAACACTTTATTATCTCCTCACCTTCGGTTGCTGCCTTGAGATGTGACAACCTTCTGTTTTCTTGTTTTCAAAGCCCTGAATGTAAAACTCCTAGCTTTCGTAAGCCACTACATTGCAAAGTTACCTTTTTGTCTTAGCTAGGTTAGGGATGTCCCTGTTAAGGACGGTGGTCTTTTAAAATGTTTGCATTAATGGTAGTTAGCATTATAGTAGGGGAAAGAAGTTGGGAGACTTTGAGGTGGGTAGGGTTTTGGGCTATCAGGGAAGGGAGATTTTCAGAACTGTTGCTCTGTTTGCATTGTTTTAAGTTTGATGCACTATTAAATGAACAATTTCCTGTTAACAGTTTTTCTTTATTGTTTTGCTTAATCTATAGAAGTATCACTTGAACATGAGGTAACAATAACATTTTTATTGTGGAGTGGATGTCCCTTTTGATTCTTCCGTCTCTTCACCCTCCTCCAGCAATATTATTTTCAGTGCTGTGCGTTGTTATGATGCAGTTTTCCTCAACACTGGAAGTTTGTGTTTGGTACTTGGTGTGATTTCTCAGTCCGGTGCTGTGAATAAAGTAACTTGCATGTCCATCTTTAATCTTAGTAAGTACTTGGGGACAGATTGTGGGGTAAACGTGCAGCGTTGTGGAGAGAGAGTGAGACTAATTGGGCCATACTTCCAAAGAGCTGGCACAGATACAATGGACTGAATGGCCCTCTGCAGTGTGATTTTTTTTTTTGAAAAAACCCAATCTGAGAAGCATCCAGCCTTGAATTTTCTGGACGTAACTTCATGTACAGTAGTCTGCAACAATGGACAAAGGGAAAATAAATTATACAGTTGCAGAATTATTTCAGTAAAGGAGATGACTATTTGGCCCGTTGTGCTTGTGCCAGCTCTCTAATTACGTATTTCACTTAGAGCACCTCCTACCTCCTCCTTCCAACCTCCCATTGTTCCTTTTTAAATAGCCTTTTGGATGCCTTGATTGAACCTTTGTCCAATATCCTCAGGCAATGAATTCCAGCCCTGACCACTGCTGTATTGAGAAGAAAGCCTTACTTTTACCAGTTGCTCTAAATCAATACCCAGTTGCCTTGGATCCTGTTAAAGTGGAAACATTTTCTCCCCATTTAATCTGTCCAGACACTTTGTGATT